CTGCCCCTCCGTGGCCACCGGGCGGGACGGCTCTGGGCGGGGCGGTTAGGCCTCGCGGCGCGCGCGACTGTTGCGGGCGGGGGCGTAGGGCAGACGCCCTCAGGCGTGCGGGGCTCCGGTCGGTCGGGACGGAAGTACAGCCTCGGGTCGGAGGAGATTGCTGGGAGCCCAGATCTCCCATCTCTCCCCCGATAAAAGAGAGGGGGGAGAAAAGAAAGGTTTGCTGAGAGGGGAGGACGGGGTGCCCTCGAGGGTCGGGGCCGGGGGCAACGTCAGCCTGAGCCGCGGATGAGGGCGCAGACGTGCGGGCGATGGGACGGCCTGGTCTGGCTGACTGCGGTATCCCGACTCGCATTTGTCGAAAGGTGTCTTCCAGCGATCGGGTGGTTAGCTGTAGTGCATTGGAGCCCTGGTGGTCACGGGTTAAATTATTCGTTCCCGAAAGAAGAGAAAGGGCCCTAGAGGTCAAAGGTCGTACGGGCGCTTGTGTGTGCTGTGCGGCGGCCTAGAAGAGCACGTGGCTTAAAAGATACTTGTTTTCCCTACCTTTATTTGACTAGGAAATACTGGGTTATTACTCTTTCTGCAGTTTTGTTTGTTTTGGTTTGGTTTTTTTCCCACCCAAATTGCAACTCCAAAGAATCTGTATGGCTCTTCTGTGCTAAAACACAAACCATATTGCTGCGTTGGAAGTAGCCCTTATACTCCCCCTGTAAATACCTGGTTAATCCACAAGGAACTTTCACTATTCATTCTGAAAGCAGTAGAATCATTAAGACTCTCCTTTTTCAAACAGATCAGGAAAGATAGAATGATACATTTGCAAGATGTTATCTCCTTGCAGGCAGCTTTTTGGGTCCTGTGTAGCTAAGTATGTTCAAAATTATTTGGAAAATACATATAGGTCTGATGGCATTTATAAAGAGTGTAAGATGGTTCACTTGACATTACTTGAGTGTGGAGGAAGTAGATTAAGATGACTTCCAGAGATCCCTCCCAACTATATTCCATGTTTCAAATAAAAATAAGAGAGTATGTATGATCAGTGCTGGTAAGAACAAAATATGAAGGAGGAGATCCTAGTACAACATTGCTGCAACAAGTAGGCAAAAACTTCCAAGAGTCACTGTGATAATTCTGTCAAAGAAGAGATCAGTTGTGATGGAGGGGACAGACCTGAGACTTTGTTTCTAGCAAAAAAAAAAAAATCAACAAAATGTGGGTGAATTGGTTGTGCCTTTAGTCTGCTAAGACAGTAAGAGCTGTCATACTGGGGTGCAAGATGTCTCTTGCAGTCTAGCTACCTAATGAAGACTACCCAATGGATTAGTCTTTCTGGTGAGGCAGTCATGCCCATTTTTATTACTAGGGAATTGCCTTCATCCAAGACATCTTTCTGTACATGTTCTGTTGAAAGGGCTGCCACCTGAGATGCAAGTATTTAATCTTCCTGCTCCTTTGAAGGAGATTTCAACTTGCCAGTGGAAGCAGACACATGGGTTGATTTCAAGCGCTTGTTCTTTCTTTGTTACAGAAAAGCATTGTCTGCTCTTTCAGGCCCAGTCACAGAAGACCAAGATCCTTATGTAATTGTATGAGTTGATGGTGTCCTTGTATGCTTAATGCTGTGTGCTTGTCTGGTTATCACACATCAAAAAGGGCATAATAAACCTAGGTAAGGCAAAGGGTAGGGTGGCAGGATTAAGAGTTTGGACAGTCTTTAGTAGGATACAGAATGCTTCCATATGTATAAGAGTAACTAAATTGATCTGAAAGAGGATCTGGGGAGAGGGTAGAATACAGAAGAGTAGCCTCTGAAGTTATGAATAGTAAGGGGAAGACAATGTGGAGAAATGCATAGTATTCTCTAATCAGAAAGCAAATTAAGAACAAAAGGAAGTACTTTTCCACGAATAATGAAACTCATTGCCTCAGGATGTTATGGAGACAAAGTATAATTGGGTTCAAAAAGGATTTATTCAAATGTATGGAAAAGAGATTAATAACTATTGCTTGGATTCTGCCTCTGGCTCTTCAGGACATCCCAAAACAGCTGATTGGTTTCTAGAGGTTGCAGAATAAAAGATAATTCTAAAGAAGTACTTTATTCTTACATTCCTTCCTAAACATCTAAGCTAGCTACTTCACAATTACTTCACATTTCAAACAGCTTTTTTTTTTCCTTCAAAAGCAGAAACAAACCTAAGGCTAGTGGTAAAACAGTATTATGTAGGGTAACTTAGTATTAAACTAGTGTAAATACAATAGTATCACATCATACTCAGTAATGTTTGCAATGTGATTGTCCAACATAGATACTTAGGATGGTGCAAGACTTCGAGGCTAAATTACTTTAGCACAGGAATAGTGCAAGAACAATATAATTACTTTGAATAAACAGCTGAATGATACATTATGGTATTTAGATATATAAATCACAAATGTCATCAATGGAATAGGAGTTGTCACAATAACACTAGTATTGAAATCCTAGATTACATGCATAATTTTTTTTACAAGTTCAGAAATAAAAGAATTAACTTGCGTTTGTGGAAGGGGTATGTAATTTAGTTCAAATAGATTTGTTTGGGTTTTTTTGTGAATAAAAATTCACTAATTCTGTAATCTGATACTATAAAATGCTACAAACTAGTAAGGGCTGTGATCTTGACAAGAACAGTGGTTCTTCTCTTGCTATACTAGACCTGAAATTCATGTTTTATTTGCAGTTTGTGAATTATTTTTGAAGATGGGCAAGGTTTGCGCCATTTTTGGAGGATCCCGAGGAATAGGAAAAGCTGTTGCAGAATTACTGGCACAGAAAGACTGCCGCCTGGCAATTATTGCAAGGAATCTGGAAGTAGCCCAAACCACTGCACATAATCTTGGTGGTAGGTATGCTGCTTTGTGATATTTTCTTCACTGTCCAACGCTTAGGTAACTTGTAAAAGTAGTAAGTTGTTAAATAAACCTCATTGTTTGGCTAGATGAAAATGAAAATAAAGGCTGAGAAATTTGAGAGAAAAGCTATATCGGTACTATTCTGTTTTCACAGTATTCTTTGGGAAATATAGGTATGTTATCTATTCTATCCATGAGGTATGAATTGTAAGATGAAAGGAATTGTTCAGGGTCACAACAAGGAGGTGGTATGAATTGAGTCATTCTTGGCTTCTCACCAAGCCAGAACTGAGACCAGTCTGCTCACACTGAACTTCTGATTTCAAAAAGTGAAAAATATAAAACAGTTACTTGTCATATAACTAATCAATACAGGATCTGAAAATTGTCCCTATTTGATGCTCTGAAGATTAAGTAGGTTCCTTAAGTTATAACTAGTTCATCATCTGTTTTTGCAATTGAGTTGATAAATTGTAAAAGTTTATGAATGGTATCCCATCTTTTACTATTATTATGACGTGCCTTTATTTCAATATAGCAGGACATCTGGCACTTAGCTGTGATGTATCCAGTGAACAAGAAGTTCAAAATACTTTTGAGGAGATGCAGAAGAATTTAGGTCCTATTAACTACTTGGTTAATGCAGCTGGGATCAACAGGTTAGTTACTTGTTACAAGATTACATGTAATTCTAGATGACTGCATCTTATTGTAAGGTGCTAAGGGCCTTTGCATTTAGAAAGAGTATTGTTAAAGACTGCTTTCAAAACCAGTATTAAGCGCTCACCAATATTTTGTTCCCGGCGATGGTAAAATTCTAACAGATGATACAGCTTTCACTGTAGTTTCTGCATTCTGAGTTCACGGGTTCCCCCTCTACTCCTCTTTCTTCCACTCCTTCCCCCTGAAATGGGCCAAAACCATGTTTGATACCTCTTTGCAAAGGAGGCTTTGTTGTCAGAAGCATAGCTAACTTTTTTCTTGCTATGTGTCATCCTTGCAATGTAATAATTTTGAATGCTGGAGTATATAGAGCAGTATAAATATCCATTAAGATTTCGTTAATCAATGAAGTTGTATTATGAGTAAATTTGATCATTGGGGTTGTTCCATGAGTTCTTTTGGTTTTTTGGTCTCTTTTTCAGGGATAGTTTGTTACTGAGAACCAAAACTGAAGATATGGTAGCCCAGATTAACACTAACCTTTTGGGAACAATGTTGACATGCAAAGCTGCTGTAAAAAGCATGATTCAACAGCAGGGAGGTGCTATTGTCAACATAGGTAAGTAGAATCCCACTGGATTAGAGAGCTATGTACTAGTTTGGTAGAAAGTTGTAGCAGGTGTAACATACTGAAATGTTACTCATTACAATTGACTATTTTCTTTGTATTTAGATGTTCTATACTTAGCGTTTCTTTATGAATACTTCTTCTTTTGTGTAATTTCTGCAACTTCTAAATGTAAAACCAGTTTGTTTCAGAAACAAACACCTCAGCGTTTATATTTTATTGAAAAAAGAATTTTATCATTCTTTATCAGCTCTTTCAGCAGCTAAATCTACCAGCTACTATTTATTAACTAAGAATCAAGTAGGTACAGTTGTTTTCTTTTTTTTCTCTTTGCCAGGCTATTTTTTTAAGAAAGCTCTTAATTTTACTCTCCTGGTGCCTATTGGTCAACGTAGATATATGAATTATACGAAGATCACAGGTATTTGAGGGATTTGCTTATCTCAGCAGTAGGCTATAAAGTACATTTAGTAATATACTTTAAATTCCTTTTCTTGAAATTCCATTTGCAATTCCAAATTTAAAACTAAAATTTTAAAGCGAGTACAAGTTTTCAAATTAGTAAATTGATCTTCTCTTTGATGTTTCTTTATTTTAGGAAGTATTGTAGGACTTAAAGGCAACTCTGGTCAAAGTGTATACAGTGCTACCAAAGCAGGATTAGTTGGATTTTCTCGCTCTCTTGCTAAAGAAGTAGCAAAAAAAAAAATTAGAGTCAACGTGGTTGCTCCAGGTTAGTTTTTGGGAAGTTTCTACATCCTTGGCTGTTGCAGTACATGATCATCAAGACTGCTGGATATTTGCTGTTCTCTGAAAGTAACTTAAGATGTTACTTATATTTGTCAAATTGCTATTATTTTCAACATTTGTAAGTAAATGTTTTTCTCTATTTTCAGTTTAAAGTATAGTAAATGCTTTTACAAAACCTTCAGTCTTTTTAAGAGAACACTGAGAAATTTGGAACAGTGTGTCTACCTGTCCCTCTCTGTTATTACATAAGTGTCTTTTTTTTCCTTTGTTCCTCTTTCATAACCTGCTGTCTTTGCAGATGGAAGGATTAGAACTGGTTATATACAGACAGCTACCCTCATCTCCTGCTAGAGAATGCTTATTTGTTATTAGAGAAACATGAAAGACCACAAGAAGCTGGCATGAAAGCATCCCTCTCTATTCCTGTAGTAAAAGGAGAGAGCCTGGAAAGAAAGTTCTGTGAGGACAAGGCTGTGGTTTCACAAGATGATCTAGTTCAAGCAAACCACCACTCTTAAGGAAAAATCCTCCTGTCTTTTCTGATGTTTTCCACTCATAGCTGTGTAGTCTGCTGCTCACCTTGGGCTCGCTCTAATGCCTTTTGGACCTCTACATGAACAAGGCAGGAAAAATATTTTTGTTGTTTAGTGAAGTGAGCAGCTCACTGCAGGGTCCAGAGCCATCATAAAGGGGCACAGTTTTACAGTAGAAAGCAAAACTGAGTCTTTCCCTTCTTGGTGGCAGCTAGAGAGCAGGTTAAGATTAGCTCTTTATGAAGCTGAGGCTTATATGAAGAGAAGGGCAGCGGTAGGAAAACTGAATCTTGGATAACTGGAAATTGTAAAGAAATGTGCATCAGAATTGTCAAGATATATTCTTCAAATGAGTGCTGTAATAGAAATTATGCAAGTGCTGTCAGAAGTTCTGAAATGTAATGGAAACACTTGCAAGCTGTAGGGGTTTCTTGCCTGTGTTTAATTTTATATCTGTGTTTTTATTGAGAATGTTTTGGTGAAATTACTATATTTTATCTTTCAGAAAAGTGATACTAAATATGGCTTTGGGGCCTGATTTTAGAGTTACCCTTTTTTCCCATAGACTTCTGCAGATCTCTGCATTTTTATGATTACATCAGTGCTTCCAAAAATGTAAGACATTTTATTAGTTAGGTAAAAATTTCTTCTTGGCTATAAAATGATATGGACTGACTTCTGAGACTTTGAATAATGGTAGCTGGTGCTGAATCCTGGTAGTAGATTTCACTTTGAAAGATTCCAGGGAAAATCCACTAGAGAAATTCAGTTGAAGGTTAGGTAACTCTTCAAATATCTCTCCTCCCTTAGGTTTTATTCGCACAGAGATGACTGCTCATTTGGAAGAAGATCAGTTGAAGAAAGCAATTCTTCTTGGAAGATTTGGAGAACCTCGTGAAGTGGCACAAGCTGTTTTCTTTCTTCTAGAGTCCCCTTACGTTACAGGGAGTACTCTGGTTGTAGATGGAGGCTTGCAGCTTCTGACTTAAAGACTACCTTGAAAAAGCCCTTAAAATGTCATGATGGTAATATATAAATATATACTAATTAAAGGGAGGGGGTGGAAATTAGTTGAAGATTGATGTATGTAATTTACTTGATATTATTTAGTCAGCAGAGAAATTCAGCGTCTATGTTTAGCTACTTGAAAGAGTTCATTTGGTGTTATGAAGTCTGAGTATGTAACAATTTGAAAAAGATCTGGTTTTGGTATGGTGATAGTTTTAAATAACAGCTGATGCATTTTTAAACCACTATATTTTTATAATGTCATATTTTCCAATTTGGGATAGAGTGGATATTTTATTTGAATTATCAAGTTACACAAAGGCTAATACAGTGCAGAGGCATGTTTATTGGTTGCCAAGTATGATAGTATCAAGTTTTTCATGTAGGGTGAAGATTACAAACTGTATAGTTTTTTTATTCTAATCAGTTAGTCCCTACAAAGTGGCAAGGAGTTTCCTTTGGGTTTTGTTTGTTTTTAACTAACACTACAAAGCTAGGATCTTCTAGATCTTCAGCATACCTGGATTGCCTTTAGAAGATTTAATTATAGGTAATATGTTTTTATAAAGACAAAACCTGCTCAGTTCCAGTCTTGAATGTATGTACAGCACTCAAGTGATTCAGTAGCACTTGTATGAATACATTGAAGGACTGTTGATTGGTCATTGGAGTTGCTAGTTCTATAATATTCTGAGTTGGAGCTGCACACACCAGTGAGCAGTACAGTTGCAGACCTTGCCACATAAAAGACTTTTCACCGACTCCGTAGATGTTTAGAAAACACCTACCACTTCCAGAGTGTGAAGTGTTTTGCTCTAAATCTTCTGGAATGCTCAGTTCAATTATGTTACGTTGATGCTCTTTATATATATGTATAGTCAATAAAATAGCCATTTATTTTGTTCAAAGCAGCTTTTGAAGCAGAATAATTATTCAGCTGTAAATGATCCTGAGTGTTAACTCTCTTGCTGAAAAATTACCGAAAATTTGACCTCAGACTTTTCTATTGAGATCAAGTAATTTTAGGTAATTCATGTTTTTATAATCTCTGAAGAAAACTATGAATGTGGTTTAGGACCTTCACTTCTTAGCTCCACTGTTCATTGCATCGTGCACCGTTCATTCCATGCATCATGGTCCAGATGTTGATTCAGCTTTTGAAATTACTTCCCATCTTGGCACAATCCGAAGCACAGGAAGAAGAGATCTCACTGGTGATAACTTTGAGTCTTTAAAGTCTGAGATTTTCTTCGTTTGTGCAGCTGAGAAATTTTGTCTTTGTGCCAGAAAACAGTACATGTTCAAGCTTCTCGCAGGTACATATTGAGAAATAATCCAAGGAATGTTTTTATATTAAGGGAGATTTACAGTTGGTTGTGTTACTCACTTTGGAATATAAAATACTACTAAGGTAGCCCTTATACTACATTCAGGATCCCTTATCTTACTGTTATCTCTTTGTAGAGAGGTGATATTGTTTGCTGTGAAAAGTTATGTGTCATATGTGTCTTTGCACCAAAAATATAATTGCTAATTATGTTTCTTTTGAAAGGAGGAATTGGCCAGAGAGTAGATGATTTTTTTCCACGGACACTGAAGGTGAGGAAGGACAGCTGGTACTCCCATTTTTACTAGTCTAATAGTAATATGTCAGTAACTTGGCTGCTGTACCTGTCCTTAGTGTTTTACAGCCTGTGTGACATACCTTGACCAGAAGCCAAAATTAAGAGACTAAAAATTATTTCTTCTTAGTCAGTTCTGACCCTAATTACTATTATTCCTTGTTTTGTTGGCTAAGAGAACTGTTAAATAAGTTAGCATTGGCTTTTTATTTTATGATTCTGATTAAAACAGGGAATAACACCCTTAGATGAATCTCAATATATGGCTAAGTAATTTTTTAAAATTGTTGCAGTACATACTGTATTTTTATTACTGCTTTTGCTATAGGACTAGACCGAAGTGTTGGTAGCCCTAAAGTTGTATTTTTAAAAGACTAAAAACTAGCTTAAAACCGTAATCCATTTCAGTGTTCACTGGGTACACCTACTCTAAGAAGTAATATCTGTTTGTCAGACTAGGGTGCTGTCTGGCCAGGGGTGATATCTCGGACAGTGGAAGTAGTGAATGTGTAGGGCAGGGAACAGATCAAGTCTGTGGTGATGTCTCCTTGGAAAACTCTTACACCTCCAGCAGTTTGTGGTTGATATGTTTGAACCTGGCATTTGCTAGCCCTGCTTGAGGCCTGCATGTTCTTACCTTTGATGAGACATTGTAACAGTGCTTTTGTGCTCGCTTTCTGTCACTCTTGAATTCGTAGGCCTCTATCGTATCCTGCCTGCCATTTTTTGAGTAATTTTTCTTTTAGTTGCTTGTTGCTGGAAAGCTCTTTTGTACATTATGTCATTTTTGCTGTCCTTTACTTTTCCAGTTTCTCAAGGAAGGAGGAATAGGTGGAATTGCTCACAGTATTCACTGTGAATTTACCTTAAAAAAGCATGTTTTGTTTTATATTGCTTCCAAAAATAATACCTAATTGTTTTGGCTTCTCCTAACCTTTACATTTATGTTTTCAAGAGCTGTGAAGAACAATAACTCAGTCTTGGATTAACGATCAACTTGGAGGCTGTTTCCTTATATATGCATTTAGGACTGATTTTTTTTGTGTGTTTTCCTCAGTGTGAATTCTTCTCATTTATCTGCAGTGAATTTGGTCTACTCGTTTTAATGCCCATTTCATCTGTGAAATGGTTCTGCAATTTTTTGTTTAATTCCTTTATCGCCTTGAGTAGCTTAGTGTTACTGGAATATACTGTGGGCTTCAGAAGTTGCTGTCTCAGAACCCTTATGAATAGGTTGTACTTTTCTAGTACCCAGAGTAGGTGCCTATGGTGTTCTGTTGGCAATCCATGTCCTGAGGAGAGAATGACTGCTGATGCATACTCTTTCTCTTCTTCCATTAAACAGTTTACTGATGTGACAGCTCTCTTGGCAGCACAGCATTTTAAATGGACTTTAGCAATGGTATGCGTCAGATGCCTTTTAGAATTTCAAGCATGCTCTATTAGATCTTCTTGCTCTCATCTCTTTTTGGTCTTTAGAAAAACTCTAAAATGTTTATCAAACATGACTTTTTCCTTTGCAAAAGTATGTTTATCCATTTGTTTTCATGTCTTTAGAACAATTTCTGGTAGTATACTTTGTACAGAAAAATATAATCAGTCTGCAGTTCCCCGGATCCCTGTGGAATCACTTCTTAAAAAACAAGTGATCCTTCCTCCCACAAAACTTCCAAAAGCTTGCGGTCCCTTTTGCCAGCTTCCAGTCATTTGATAATGAGGTAGTTTTAACCTAGAAGTTTCACACTGCAGTTACTTGATTTCCCTTAGAATTTGGAAGTGATAGCCTGCAGCCCCAGCCTTTAAATCTTTCCTCTGTGACCTCTTCTGATGTTTTGCTCTGAGGGGTAGAACCTCCAGTCAGTAGCCTGCAGAGGTTCTGCTCAAGTTCAAAAAAACTGAAGACAGATTTTGGGTTTTGTTCATTGTTTGGGGATTTGTTTTTCTCTGTGGCCTTGCCACCCCTGAGCACTTTGCTTTTTATTTTGATCATCTGCTTGTCTTATTCAAGCATGGTGTCTGGTCCTATGGTGATGTTCAGTTTTTATGCACTTTTGTAAATTGTTCCTCTACTCTCTGATCTATCAATCTCTAAATTTTACGTTCATAGACAGTTACCATTTGACTGCTAAAGCTGGACTGCTGGTTTTACAAAGTCTGACTTAAATTGTCGTAGCTTTTAATCCATGTCAGCTTCCCCCTTCCCTCAAAAAAAAAAGTTTAATTTGGTGTGTGTATTTAAAGACTTCATACTGAAGTTCAGTGTGTACAATCTTAGTGGTGTTGTCAAGCATTGCATCTTAATTCTTTCGACTTGTCTTTTTGCTTTCATTTTAGCATACTTCCTTATTTTATGTTGCTCCTTTTTTATCGAAGTCTGCAGTAGTAGACTGTGGCCTTTGGTAATAAACTTGGTTAGTATTCTCGCAGAAATAAATGTTACCAACACAAAGCCAGTCTTTGAAAATAGCATTTTGACTCAGGTCTTGTACGCTCTCCGGGACTGCAGCCAGAGTTGTGTGGTCCTGATTGGCTGCATGATATTAAAAAAAATGTGATCTTGACATCTTCAGTGAGATCCAACCTGCTGATAACTGCTATCTTGCATTACAGTTACATTGGTGTCCTTATAGTCTTTGGATGTCATAGCTACTGCCATCATCTTAATGGTGTTGGAATAATATTGTCTAACAATAGAGTTTACACTACTAGGCCTGGAAATTAAATCCAGATCTGATTTGATGAGTTAATATATTGATATCTAGTTTCATGACTTTCCTGTATATTTTGCGTCAATATCTGGCTTATTTGTCTTGCTACCATCATATTTCTGGTATGCCTGTTATGCCCCTGTCCTTGATTAAAAACAGACGTTTGGGTTTTGCATCTTGTGCTGCTAGCATTTATGACGAGCTATATATAAATGTTTTGGATTTTTTTTTGCATGTGGGTGTTCTTGAGTAGAACTGCGTGCTGGACTTATGATTTCTCAATTGAATTTTGAAAACTTTACGCTTTTACTAGACATACAAAGTTTCTGTGATTCCATTCCTAGTGGAAGTGAGAACACAAGCTTTTTATTCATCTGATATTTCTTCATCTGTTATATTGCTTAAAACTCTCCTGTAATCTTTTGTTAAGTGCCATTGCAGCCTTACTTCTGCTTATCGATTGAGAAATATGTTTGTAACTTAGACCTTGCTATAGTGAACTCACACTGCTAGCCATCTACTTTTAAGGCACATGTTTCAATTGATTATCATCAGTAGAAGTTTCTAACAGGACACACAAAATGTTGGTGAGGGGTTTTTTTTTAATATTGCAGCTCTAAGAGGGAGCTGTTGCAAAGAACAGATTTGCAG